AAGAGGTAGAGAAACAGAGTTTAACACACTCATAGAAATCCAAGCAACTATGTCTCTAACTCCTTTGTTTTAAGTCTCTCCTAAAGAGAAGTCATTGTAATTTGAGAACGTTTTTTAAAAAAGAAGGAAGTCAGGGGACCTGGGTGGCTTGGTTGGTTAAGCGTCTGACTCTTGATTTTGGGTAAGGTCATAATCCCAAGGTTCATGGGATCGAGCCCCATGTTGGGCTCTGTGCTAATAGCATGGAGCCTGCTTGGGATTCTCTCTCTCACTTTGCCCCCATCTCTGCTCACAAGCTCTCTCTCTCTTTCAAACTAAATAAATAAATAAATCTGAAAAAAATGTATTTAAAAAGAGGGAAGTGAGTGATCGAGAAACCGAAGACTAAAGCATCAAAGGGCTATGTCTTTTTATGTTAACATTGTTAAAGCCATGAGAGACTGACTTCTTCCAGAAGATGGGGTAGAGATAGTTTTTTCCATTCCATTTGCTGAGTCCAACTAGAAATCTCAGACATTATGTATAAAACCATGAAGGGTGCAAAGAAGATGGCTAAAGACCTTGGGACCCAAAGAATGACACCGTGGTGAGTTGCCTGGGCTTTCATTTTGCCTCATGTGTCAAGACATGTATCTGAGGAAGTAGGCAACTGGGAAAACCCATGGACACACAAAAAAGAAAGCCTGTTCTCTCCAGCCAAAGGACCAGGAAAGGGCCAGCTTCATCAGATTATCTTAAACAATAGGTCTTCATCTCCAGTCGAACACCACAGAAATGCCTGTGGCCCTACTCCTGCCAGAAATTGTCAAGTGAGGAGGCTAGAATTTTACCTTCACAGGCTGCAACAGGCTAACCGCCACCCCCCCGCCCCCCCCACCGAGGACCCCACCAACTTCCTCTCGTATCCTCAACGGGCGGTCAGAGAAGAGTAGAGAGCTAGAAATTCACCCCTCTGGGTAGTAACAACACCACCCAGGGGTGCCTGGGTGTCTCAGTCAATGAAGCGCTGACTTCCGCTCGATGAGTTCAAGCCCCTGTTTGTGCTGACAGCTCAGAGCCTGGGGCCTGCTTCGGATCCTGTGTCTCCTTCTCTCTCTGCTCCTCCCCCTGTTCGTGCTCTCTCTGTTTCTCTCAAAAATAAAATAAACATTAAAAAAATTTTCAAACATCACCCAGCAACAGCAGAATGTGCCTTCTTTACAAGAACCTACAGACCAGATATCAAGATAGACCATATCCCAGGCCTCTAAAAATTTTTTCAAGAAATTTTAAACACTTGAAAATCAATCACACAGTGTGTTCTCTGACCACAATGGAATCGAACTGGGCGCCTGGGTGGCTCAGTCAGTTAAGCGTCCAACTTCAGCTCAGGTCATGATCTCACCATTCATGCCCACATCAGGCTCTATACTGACAGCTCAGAGCCTGGAGCCTGCTTCAGATTCTGTGTCTCCCTCTCTCTCTGCCCCTCCCCCACTCACACTCTGTCTCTCTGTCTCTCAAAAATAAACATTAAAAAAAATTTTAATAACGGAATCAAACTGTAAATCCATAATAGAAAGATAACAAGAAAATCTCCAAACATTTGGAAAGAAAACAGCAGTGGATTGATACGTCTCCTTAGTGGATTAACCCTTTAATCATTACATAATCTCCTTATCTGTCTTTGTTAATTGTTTTTACTTTGAAGGCTACTTTATCTGATATTAATATAGCCACTTCTTTGACTGATGTTTGCATGATATATCTTTTCCCATTTTTTTCCTTCCAACCTGCCTACATCATTATATTTGAAGTGGGTTTCTTATAGACAGCATATAGTTGTCTTTAAATTCACTCCAACAGTCTCTCTTTCTTAATTGACATCCATAGACCATGTACCAACATTGAATGCTTTCCGCCTAAGATTGGGAAAAGGCAAGGATGTCCTCACCCATTATTCTAATTCAACATGGTACTGCAAGTTCACACCAGTGTAGTAAAGCAGGGAAAGAAAATCAAAGACATACATATCAGGAAGGAAGAAATAAAATTGTCCTTATTTGCAGATGACATGATTGTCTATATAAGAAATCCTAAGAATTTACCAAGGACTCCTAGAGCCAATAAAGGAGTTCAATTAAGGTCATAGGACACAAAATAAACATGCAAAACCCAGTTGTATTTCTATATACTGACAATGAACATTTGGACACTGAAGTTATATTATACTAATTATACTATACCACTTATAATTCTTAAAAAAAAAGAAAAGAAAAGAAATACTTAGGTATAAATCTGGCAAACCAGGCCTAAGACCTATATACTGAAAATTACACCATGCTGATGAGTGAAATCAAACAGAATCTCAATAGATAAACATACATTGTTCATGGATTGGAAGATTCGATATAGTAGAAATATCAATTCTCCCCAAATTTATATACAGGTTTAATGAAATTTCTATCAAAATCCTAGCAAGAGTTTTTATACGTATAGAGTAAATACTATCCCAAAATGAATATCAAAGGTAAAGAAGTAGAAGAGATTCTTTTAAAAAAAAAAAAGTGAAATAGAAGAACACTGTGGATTTCAAGACTTATTACATGATAAGCAATCTTATACAAGTAACCAAAACTGTATGGACCTGTGAGAGGAAGCAGCACCATAAGCAATGACTAGAACGGGGAACCCAGAAAAAGACTCACAGAAATATGTTCACCGATTTTGGATAGTGTTGCGAGTACTATTACTTACAATGGAGGAAGAGTAGCCTTTTCAACAACCAGAACTAGGGTAATTGGACACCCAGACACAAGAAATGAACCCAAGCCTCTGTGTCATACCTTCTACAAAAATAAACTCAAAATGGATAAGAGATTTAAATGTAAAAATATAAAATGCTAGGGAAAAAAATAGAGGAAAATCTTTGAGATTAAGCGCTAAGCAAAGACTTTTAGACTTAACACCGGAAACACATTCATAAAAGAAAATGAGGTAAACTGTATTTCATTAAAATTTAGAACTTTTGCACTACCGAAGCCCATGTTAAGAGAATGAGAAGACAAGCTAAAGATAGTGAGAAAATATTTGAAAACCACACATTAGAAAATGGGCAAAAAATCATGAAGCGATATTTCACAGAAGAGATATACAGATGATGAATAAGCGTAGGAAAAGACGTTCAGCATCTTTTGCCATTGGGGAAATGGAAATTCAAACCACAGTGAGATTATCACAACACGCTTAGCAGGATCGCAAGGATGCAGCAAAACTGTACTACTCATGCACTGCTTATGGGAGAGTGAAGTGGTACAGCCACTTTGGAAAACACTTTGGCAGTTTTTTTAAGAAGAATAAACCTGCAACTAACACATGATTCAGCAATTGTGCACCTGGGCATTTATCCCAGAGAAATGAAACACATTCACACAAAAACCTGGCACAATTGTTTATAGCAACTTTATTCATAAAGCCCCAAGCTGGAGAAAAAAAGAAAAAAGAAGTCCTTCAGTGGGTGACCAGTTGAACGAACTGCGGTACACTCTTACCATGGAATCTTCTCAGCAATAAAAAGAAATGAACTACTGATACACAAAACAACCTGGTTGAATCTCTCAAGAATTATGCTGCGTGAAAGAATTCAATCCTATACATGACTCCATAGATAACATTATTGAAATGAGAAAATTATGGAAATGAAGAACAGGTTCATAGTTGGCATGGGTCAGCAGGGAGCGGAGTGAACTTGGCTATAAAATTTCAACACGAGGGATCTTGTGCCGTCGGAAATGTTCTGTAACTGGACTGTGTCACTATCAATATCTTGGTCGTGATGTTGAACTAGTATAGAATGCTACCATTGGGGGAAACTGGCGAAGGGTACATGGGATCTCTCTGTGCTGTTTCTTACGACCGCATGTGAATCTGCAGTTATTTCAAAAAGTGCAATTTAAAACACAAAAAAAAAAAAAAAAAAAAAGAACATGAGAAAGAAAAAGGTCATGCCCACAGTACCAGGAGAATATTCTCGAGATAGATTCCAGTTTGGCATGCTATTTGTCATCCTGGTGCATTTTATGAACACAATCTGTCTTAGAGTTTAGTTTGTGATCATCCCGTATGGAAAGAAAGGGACGAAAACAATAACACCAATAGAGTGAACTTGTTTTGCTAATGTAAACTTGCTGCTCAGCGGAGCCTTCCGTGAGAAATGGAGTAGCGCTCTCAGTGGTGCTCAGAAGACGTCCTCACAGCTGTGTGCCGGCTCCTCCTTATAAACGTGCCATGAAGGAGAAGCTGATAGGATCCTGCTTTCTCTGTGCTCCTGATTCCCAGAAAGGAGGGAAGTGTGGGCATGGACACATTTCAAGATCTGAAAAGACTCTCTTTCGGTCAAACATTGAGCCCATCTTTGATGCATTCAACGATAAAAGGAGCTTACCTTTTGACTTCTGCCCAGTTTCACGGAATCATCAGCAAACAGCTGGAGTGGAGCTCAGCACACACGCCCAGAGGCCCAGAGCTCTGGGGAGGAAATGCAGCCCACCCAGGGGTGGGGCATCAGAAGGACCAGACGCTGGGAAGGGCACAGGAAGCAATGGCTGGTGACAGTGTGCAGCCTCTACTTCTGGGATGTTGGTCCCAGTGTCTGAGGAAATGCTCCTTTCTTGCCCCACAGGTGAGGACATTAGCATGACCTACCCATGACATTGAGAAGAGGGAAGATGACAGAGCAACACTCCAAGAAAAATGGCTAGAAATGCTATTGTCAGCCTCTGACTCTGACCTTGGCTTCAGTGCGGGACAACTGGACCCAGGAACGGAGAAGGTACACCACAGTACCCCTTAAATTTTTCACTGAACGTGTGCCCCAGACATGGAAGAGAGGAAGTACACACCCTCCCACCCGGGGTGCAGCCTGAAACAATTCCCTACACACTAAAAATTTCTTTGAGGTTGTGTGTCTGCATAAGACTTCATGTCTGTTTTGACGGAAGCTGCCGATCGACTCCGTCCCTGCCTCACCAGGAAACTACTAAAATTCTTGTGGAAGTAAAGTAGAATTTCATAAGAACATAATGGATGGAGAAGAGAAAACCTATGGTGGTTGTGAAGGTCCTGATGTCATGTATGTCAAATTGATATCTTTGGATGTTCATGAATTTATTGTAAAAAGAGAACATGCACTAACATTCGCAACAATGAAAGCCATGTTGGGTGGCCCAGGTCAGTCTGCTGAGAACAGAACTAATGAAGTCAGTTTTAGAGAGATCCCTTCACATGTGCTATCAAAAGTATGTGTGCATTTTACCTACAAGGTCCATGACACTAGCAGCTCGACGGAGATCCCTGAATTCCCAATTGCACCTGAAATTGCACTGGAATTGTCGATGGCTGCGAGCTTCCTAGATTGTTAAATAAAATAAATTATTTTTAAGAAAACAGACTTTATATTTATTTTATCATTGTAAAAAAATTATGTGCTTAATTAGTCACCATCATGCAATCTGAGCCTTCAGGGAAATGGCCATGTTCAGCTCATGGCTTTGGGTGTAGAGGTCATGTCACGCTGTGGCTGAGGGTCTGGGCTCTGGAAGCACTCTGTCCAGATTCAAATCCTACTTCTAGAGCAAGTTCCTGATTCTTTTGTGCCTCAGTTTCCTTATCTACAAAGTGAGAATTATAGCAGTCCTACTTCGGAGCATTGTCGAGACGCTTACAAAAGTTAATACACATCAAATACTTGGTACCCGTGCTCGATACATGTTAGTTTTCAGGCACCTGGGTGGCTCAGTCGGTTAAGCATCTGACTTCGGCTCAGGTCATGATCTCGCAGTTTGAGAGTTCGAGCCCCGCATCAGGCTCTGTGCTGACAGCTCAGAGCCTGGAGCCTGCTTCGGGTTCTGTGTCTCCCTCTCCCTCTCCCTCTGCCCCTCCCCAACTCGTTCTCCGTCTCTGTCTCTCTCTTTCCCTCTCAAAAATCAATAGACATTTAAAAAAATATTAGCTTTTATCGTGATGAGTTACACTGGCATTTTATACCAGTTCCTCGAACCCACTTGAAACGCAGTAGATAATCCAGCAAAGATAGACTTGTAAGGTAAAAAACCTGGGAAATTATTTTTGTTTCAGAATTGTGGATGTAGAGATACAGCAATATGTTTTTGCTGTATTGGCAAGAACGTTTGGGCACAGACTTGTACTACAGTCACTTTAAAGTGAGAGTTCTGAATCCATTTCCCTTTTTTCCGTCTCCCTTTTTGCACCATGCAGGCAAAGGTTCATGCTCTCAAATAACATAAGGACGGAATAACACAAACGAGAACACACAGAGTTTGGGCCCCATAGTATTGTGTGTCAACCCCATCCATCCACCCTCCCCTTTTCAAAAACGAAGGAATACTACGCTTTGACAATGGTGACACTATCCATGTTCTCCACAGCAGCTACTTTGTTGGCTACATTCGGGAACTCTGCAAGGCTGTGGAGAATGTTAACAGGGTTCAAACGCGGGCCTTTTGTGGCAGGCTCTGAGTTGGAATGCGGTACAACGAGAACCTTCTGAAGCTCACCCAAGGTAAACACGGGATTTGTCACACACACGGCAATGACATAAAACTGGTGTGTGATGGTGCCCCTGCTTTTTCTGCAGTGTGAGGCCCGAGCCCAACCCTCCAAGTGATGGCCTGCGAGGTCTGTACTGGGGGCGGCTGCCCTAGTGAGTTACCTTTTAACCAAATATCCTCAGAAATCGGAATCCTTTGTTGTGTGCAAGGAACTGCCACCAGCTGTTTTCTGTTTCCACTGAGGGCAGGGCAGGAGGAAATAGAATGGATCAAACAGCACCGACAGGATTTAGCACAGATACAAGAGAAAACGATCTGACAGTGAGAATTATTGACCAGTCGGGGAGAGCTATGTAGGGCACTAGAGAACCCTCTTCTCTGAATATCTTTTTGAGATATCTCAACACACGCTGAGGGGAGAAGGCTGTCTCTGAATCAGTGATTGGCAGCCAACATTCCACCAAGTGAGGTGACAAACTCCTGATTTTCTGAAATATTGGTGGAAGATGAAAGGCCCTCCAGGCTAAAAATTGTACCTTATTCTCCCATAATCTTGATTAATAGCTTTCCTTTTTAAAATGTAAACACTGCCATGCGGTCACATACATCAGCCGTTCCTAACAGTGTAAGTCACCAGAATCGTATAATCTCCTAAAACCCAACCAGGAGGCTTCCCCCAGGGAAGGAAGGTTTAATGAGCCCAGGAAAAGGCCTGGGACCCCCGTGGACCATACATTGAGGTGGGTGCCAGGAAAGAACAGGAGCTGAAGAAGTCAGAGAGGATCAAACGGAAGCAGGAAGACTCCCAAATCTCCCACCTTCTTCATGGTTCTATCAAAGTTTCTATCAATCTATACAATGACTAAGGCACACTGAAAATCTTCCTCTTGCCCATCTCTGGCTCCATGCTATGAATTCCAAGTTGGGAAGATTGCCAAGGTTCCTTCTGGACTCATCATTCCCTGATTCTGGGATGCCTCTCTTTCTCAAAAAGCCACACACTCTGTCTTCAAAAGAAGCTCAGAGAGTCCCAAGGGGTAGGATCCCTGGATAAAGATAAGATGCATCCTTGCCAATACATGGTGCTAAGCCACCAAAGAGGGAGGGAAATTTTAGGAGGAAAATAAAGAGATTATATGTAATTTATTAATAGCTGACACTTACAGAGAACTTAATATGTACCAGGAAAATATACCAAGTGCTTTTTATGTGTTATTTAATCCTCACAACAATGCTGTATTATCCCCATTCTAAAAGGCTGTGTGAAGAAACCATTCCACAGAGAGGTTCAGAATCGTTTCACGTCTTCCGGCTGATAAGCAGAGGAGCTGGGCATGCAGTCACCAAACTCCATGAGAATGTGCTGGATGGGTGTCCCTTTTCTCTTTTTGAGTCACATCTTTGGTTCTCTCTTCACTCATCTTTTCCACTGAGCTTGTGGGGGCAAGACTGCAGAGGTCATGATGGTCACCAAAGGAGCCCCAGGAAAGAGAACAAGGAGTGAGAAGTTTAGACCAGATCTGGGAGTCAGGAGAGAAGCCCTTGTTCCTCTCAGTCACTTCCTCCCTGGTAGTAGAAGGAGTTAAGATCAAAAGGGCCAAAATTCTTGCTGTCACTTCTCTCTCCATGCCTGTCACAGACCACCTCCCTCATGCTGAGCCAGAAGAAAGCTGTAAAATCTTGGTCAACGCAGTACAGGAATTGGTGATCAAAATGATGTCTTCTTCTATTCTTGATGTGACACACAGCCTTTAAGTCATCTCAAACCCACTTATAACTCAGGCATAACATCATCACAGCAGAACTAACCGGTAAATCACAACATCAGTGAAGGTATAGCCAGCTGGTCACAGGCAGTCACTTGGTCAGTCCTTAGTGCATCCCTTGATAATGATCAGAATCGCCGTTCGAAGAGCACCCCCCGTGTGCTCCCTGGGCCAATTAATGATAGAGCCAGGAGCAAACACCTGTGCAAAGACAAGAGGGTGCTGGAGAGGGAGTGGGGGTTGGGGAGGGTCTTGGCTTCAGGTTGGTATTGGATGCCAGTCCTGAACCCAGGCTGGGAGGGGGAGCAGAGCCTTTGTGAGAGCTTTCCCAGCCTCATTCCAGCCCACAAACCAGCCACAGGATCCTGTCACCAGCCAGAGGCACAATGTCGGGACCCTATCCCAGGGAACTCTTCCCACTTTTCATATACAGTGTTCCCTTTTTTAATTAAAATTCATTCATCCCCAGTGAAACCAAGCTCAGTTTCCATCTGCCTCTTTCTTACTCTTCACTGATGTCATCACAGTTCTGCTGTGATGATGTTATGCCTCCCCAGCTCGAGACGAAAAATAATTCTAAAGAGCCAAAGAGGGTCTGTGTACAGGAAATGTTTGCATGTCCAACAGACTTGAATTGGTGTGCAAAATGAGTTCGCAGAAGTGACTGAGAAGTAATTCTAGACATTGGAGAGGAAATGTTTCAGAAGCATGAAGAGTCTAGAGGGACAGATGGAGAAGACAGCAAAGGGATTTGGCAACCACCCTTGGCCACAGAGGACAGAGCAGGATTCTCCCTTTCTCTGTCTTCCTTGAACGAAACTGGTGCCCTAGAAGCTGATGGTTCTTCTTGGGTAGACAAAGCAGAACGATTGTGGTCATTGCTTTGCCTTTCAACTATTTCCCCTCAAACAAACATGTTAATAAAGCAGTCGTGGGTGGGTTTGAATTTTATTTTGTGCTTTTTAAAGTGGCCAGTGAGCTATATACGCTACATGTGGGGATTTCATTCTAAGTTCACCTTCCCACATCAAGTCCAGAATAGTAACAGTAGAGTTTTTCGGGGGCAGGGAGGGGGGACATTTTTTCACACTTAGGATACGATTTAAATAAAACTGCAGGAAAGGAAGATGGCGGGGAAAGAGTTACCATGACTCTGGCAAGATGCTTGCAATGAGAAAAAGAAACATGAGCAGGAACCCACAAAAGGGCCAAGGAAGATCATAAAAGAAAAAAAAAGAATAGGATCTGAACACTGGGATCCACCATTTACTCAGTCCTCTTTCTTTAAAAAAAATGTTTTTAATGTTCATTTATTTTTGAGAGAGAGCACAAGCAGGGGAGGGGCAGAGAGAGAAGAGACACAGAATCCACGTGGGGCATGAACGCACAAACCTTGTGATCAGGACCCAAGCCCAAGTCAGGTGCTTAACTGACTAAGCCACCCAGGCACTCCTTATTCCTTCTTCTATCTCTCCCATTCGCTAGGTTGAATCCAAGAGAATCTGGTAAGTAAAATAGCCCAATGTTAATGTTTTAACCGCATGGGACCTGGTACTTCATCATCATCATCATCATCATCATCATCATCATCCTCATCACCATCATCACCTTTTGTATTCAAGTGCCTATTTGCTAATATGATCCATACTTTCTGCCATGATAACCTGGAGATACTAAAAAAAGAAGGAAATATTTCTGGAAAAATCACAAGAGATGCTGCTGGTCTAGATTTTGCTTGACTCTGATGAAAGTTACTAATGGGAAGGAGAATATTTAGAATTTATGAAAAGACTTGGAGAGAGCTATTCCAGAAGAAAATACCATTTGGTACCAACTCTGGGGCTTGTGGGTAGGTTTCTATGTTGAAGTCCTGGATTTCAGATAAATAAAATGTTTCTTGCAAAGTAGCCAAACTATCCATCAAGCAACTTCCATGGGTTTACAATTCATTGGGAGTAGAAAGCCACTAAAGAGGGTCTTGACGTGATCTGGCGGGAGTGTGGGGGGTGGGGGGGTGCTTCAAGTTCCACATACTCAGTAATGCTTGGCTATTGAATGGAAGAAGGGACAGACTGGGGATTCTGA